GCCTGGTAACAGTAGAGAAAGAGGTTATTCTTCCTCTTCTTCCCTGACCCCTCCATCCCTAGTTTTATATTTCAGTGGCATAAACTATTGCTTTAATATTCGGACTTTCAAATAAGTCCTGTGCTAGGAGTTAGTAAGTGTCTGGGAAATTTCCAAACTTTATTAATAAATTTAGAGAGAAGACAATAGATTTAAAAAAAGTTAAAGCTGGGCACTAGTGGCTCACATCTGTAATCCTAGCTTCTCAGGAAGCTGAGATGTGAGGACTGTGATTCAAAGCCAGCCTAGGCAGGAAAGTCCATGAGACTCTAATATCCAATGAACTCCCAGAAAACTGGAAGTAGAGCTGCAGCTCAAATGGTAGTGCCCAGGCCTTGAGTTCAAGCCCTACAACGGCCAAAAAGTTAAGTATTTAAACATGTCTTGTTTTTGTGGTACTGGGACTTGAATTCAGGACTTTATGCTTATGTAGGCTGGCTTTATTATTAGTATTAATTTATTTTTCTTTTGTTCTGGCATTGGGGATTAAACTCAATGTCTCTCATTCTCTCTTAGCTTTTTTACTCACAGCTGATACTCTACCATTTGAGCTACATTTCCACTTCTGCTTTTTTGGCTCCATTTGCTGTTTTGCCTGATTTGTGTCACAATCTTCACATCTCAGCCTCCTGAGTAGCTAGGATAAAAAGTGTGAGCCACTGGCATCCTGCAAAAATTGGTTTTTGATTCATGTGACTAGTGAGTAGAGCTTACACTGGATCTCTTTACACATCTTGAAAGAATTAGAATTGCATGAGATGTCTATCTCTGCCTTTACACTCGCACTTCTGGGTGGAGTGTTTAATTTTGGCTTGGTACCTTTCTTGGCTCAATGATTCGATATCATGTCTGTAGTTGGACCCAGACATGTAATCATCCAACTCTTCCAACTTCTCTCTAGTGAGAAAACCCATCAAAGGTTTAATCTAACTAACAGTCACATTAAAAAAAAGTTCTATGAAATGAGATTTCCTGTACTTCAGGTCTGGTGAGCTTGCTTTGAATTGCTAAAATATTTGTTCTCCAATTAATCAACCTAGGAGATTTATTTGGGTTGTAGATTCCCATCTGTTTGCTCATTTCTTGCTTGAAGTTACTTGGATAAAAATAAATCTACATTCCCTGAGCGCTCCTCAGTCTTTATAAAGGTGGTCCGTGGCAGATCAGGCTGGAAAGGAAGCACATTGTTTCCTCCATTAACTGAGCTGACAGATTAGTCAACCCCATGATTTATCTTTGTGTGTGTGTGTGTGTGTGTACATGCACGCGTGCCAGTCCTGGAGCTTGAGTTCAGGACCTGGATGCTGTTCCTTAGCGTTTGTACTCAAGACTAGCTCTCTATCACTTGAGCCACAGCTCCATGTCTGGCTTTTTGGTAGTTAACTGGAGAAGAGTCCCATAGATTTTCTTGCCCAGGTTGGCTTTGAACTATGATCCCAGATCTCAGCTTCCTGATAAAGCTAGAATTCCAGTTGTAAGCTATTGGTGCCCAGCTCTGATGTCTTCTTAAATGAGAGAAAAAGTAATCACTCTCGATGATGGGGGTGCCAGCTCATTGTAGTTTAATATTTTCTATTTTCTTCAAGCCTGGGACTCTGTTGGGTTTCCTGAAGGCTAAAAGACTTTTTCTCTAGGCCACTGCCCCAGCCAGCTCCTACTATGACTAGATCTGCTGGAAGTCGCCTGGCCCCAGGCTGCCCCACCTGGAATGGCACAGGTAACATAGCTCTGATGACCGTTAGCATAAAGCGAAGAGACAAAGGAGGCTTTCAACTTCTGGGATTGCCATTATGGGGAGAGCAACAAGCTGATCCAGGCTGTGGAACTTGGACAAATAATCAAACATGAGAACAAATTGCTTATTTTACTAAGTCAGTGCACAATACTGGTTTAATGCTGCTAGCTAAGAGCCAGGCTGCGTGGTGAGAACCCAGTTCCACCACGTGTGTGTGTGTGTGTGTGTGTGTGTGTGTGTGTGTGTGTGCTGGTACTGGAACTTGAACTCAGGACCTCATGTTCTTGCTTAGTTTTTTATTCAGGGCTGGCCCTCTACTACTTCAGACACAGATCCACTGCAGCTATTTTGATGGTTAATTGGAGATAAGAGTTTCACAGAGTTTTCTGCCTGGGCTGGCTTTGAACTGTGATCCTCAGATCTCAGCCTCCTGAGTAGCTAGTCATGAGACCGCGACTTCTGGTTTTCTTGCTGGTTAATTGGAAGTAAGAATCTTATATGTGTGCCTAGGCTGCATTTCCTATGCTTTATTCTCATGTCTGTCTTGGTTCTTACATTGTAGACATTTCTGTCATGTTCATTGAAGCACAGCAATGCATAATAAAAATCAAAATAAGCCAGTGGCTTATAGTCGAAATCCTAGCTACTCAGGAGGTTGAGATTTGAGAGTTAAGGTTCGAAGCCAGCCAGGGCAGAAAGTCTGTGAGACTCTTACCTCTTAATTAGCCACCTCTTAATTAGATGTGGAGATATGACTCAAGTAGTAGAGTAGCAACTTTGGGCAGAAAACCCCCCTGAGTTCAAACTCCAGTACTGGCCAAACAAAACAAAATTAAAACTCCCAACAGAACAAAACACCATTTTTTCTTTTCTTTTTTTAAATGACTGTCTTTAAGCAGCTGCACAAAGAAGTTTCAACATTATCATTTTATTTATATATATATATATAATATATATATTATATAATATATATAATATTATATATAATATATATATAATATTATATTTGTGCTAGTCCTGGGGTTTGAACTCAGGCTCTGGGCCCTGTCTGAGCTCTTTTGCTCAAGGCCATCACTCTACCACTTGAGCCACAGCTCCACTTCTGGCTTTTTTTGGTAGTTAATTAGAAATGAGTCTCCTAGACTTTCCTGCCTGTGCTGGCTTCAAACCACCTCAATCCTCCGATCTCAGCTAGGATTACAGGCCAGAGCCCAGATGTCCAGCTTAGTACAATGTATATTGAATGATGTCACCTCTTCCGTCATTCTCCCCCATTTCGCCCATCCCTTCCCATCCCCTTAAGTTGTCTGGTTTTATTTTCACAGATACGTGTTTACTACTATGATTAAAACACCTGTTCTGAAATGGAAAAATCTTAACTTTGAAACCATTTTTCCCCTTGAACGAAATGGCTATCATAGGATAAAAATTGGTATTAAAAAGTCTGCCCCAAGCTGGGTGCCAGTGGCTCAGGCCTGGATTCCTTACGACTCAGGCAGCTGGAATCTGAGATTTGTGGTTTGAAGCCAGCCCAGACAGAAAAGTCCATGAGACTCTTATCCCAGCAAGAGGCTGGAAGTGAAGCTGTGATTCAAGAGGCAGAGCGCTTGCCTTGAATGAAAAAAATCTAAGAGACAACAGCCAGCTGTATGAGTCCCAGCTCACTCCTGGGATGATTAATCCCTTCCTTTTCTTCCCTAATCATGAGGCCATGAGAACATAACAAATGAACTCTTGCTGGTGATGTAGCTCAGTGGCAGAGCACATGCGTGGCAGTACAAGGCCCTGGCTTTAGTCTCCTGCCCCACATTCCCCCAATAAAACAACACAAAGACTGCCAGCCTTTCCTCCCAAGCCCCAGCTTCCCTCTGTGTCCCTCAAGTGTGTGCCACCTTAGAATAATAACCAGAACTGGTGGTGCATGCATGTAGTCCTAGCAACTCAAGAGGCTGAGATGCAAGGATTGTGGTGGTTTAGAGCTGACCCAGGCAGGAAAGGCTGTGAGATTCTTTAATTAACCACACACACACACACACACACACACACACACACGTGCACACACACACACACACGCACACACACACACAAACTGGGAGTGGAGCTGTAGCTCTAGTAATAAGAGTGCTAGTCTTGAGCAAAAAAAGCTCAGGACAGCGCTTACGCCCTGAATTCAAGGCCCAGGATCTGCATGAAACAAACAAATGAAAAACAGCAACAAGAATAACAACAAAAACAATAGTGACAAAAAGAAGCAGAACTTGCTGGGCCTTCACTCACTCGCTGCTATCTTTCTGACCTCAAGTTGCTGTCTTGGTACAGTGGATAGCAAGTCAGTCTCATAATCTTTCTGACCTCAATCCTTACTTACTCTTATTCTCATTCTTCTTCATATTATTGCTAGTCTTGGGGCTTGAACTCAGGGCCTGAGCACTGTCTCTGGGCTGCTTCTGTTAAGGCCAGCAAGAGTGCTACTTGAGCCATAGCACCACTTCTGGCCTCTTCTGAGTATTTTATTGGAAATGAGAATCTCAAGGGCTTTCCTGCCTGGGCTGGCTTCAAATCGAGATCCTCAGATCTCAACCTCCTGAGTAGGATTACAGGCAAGAGCCACTGGTTGCCTGGTCTTGGTATTAGGCTTTGAAATCAGACTGTTATGTTTGCCAGGCCAGTGCTCTCTACCACTTGAGCTATGCCCCTAACCCTTTTTGCCCTGATTATTTTTGGAGTAGGGTCTTGCATTTATGCCTGGGCTGGCCTGACCCATGCAATCATCTTATTCATGCTTCCGGTATAGTTAGCATTGCAGGTGAATACCGTTACACCTAGCTTTGTTTTTTGAGAGGAGAGGAAGGGGTCTTAGAAGTTTTTGCCAAGACTAGTCTTAAACCATGATCCTCCCAATCTCAAACTCCTGAGTAGTTAAGATGATGGACATGAACCATATGCTGTTCAGTATTAATTTTTTTTTAAAGTACTCTACCTGTAAAGTAGTAGAATACTCTAGTACTCTAGTAGTAAAGTACTCTACCTGGTAGAATTCAATTCTTCATGCTTTGGTACAAGAATGAATACACATTTCTAGCATGTTCTGGGCATTCATCAATTTGTTTGTGTTTGACCAAGTAAGTTTAAGATTCCATCTACAGCTTAAAGAGTATTGTATTACTTTTGTGTTGTGATAGTCTATTCAAATTATGAAAAATGTTTTCTTCTGTTTGTCTTTTAGGTTCCTTTAAGACATTGACTCTTCCGTCAGTAAGTATTCATTTAAAGAATTTGGTTTCGGCTGGCAATGTGGCTTAGTGGTAGAGTGCTTGCCTAGCATGCATGAGGTCCTGGGTTCAATATCTCAGCACCACATAAACAGAAAAAGCCAGAAGTGGAACTATAGCTGAAGTGGTAGAGCGCTTGCCTTGCATGCATGAGGTCCTGGGTTTGATTCCTCAGCACCACATAAGCATAAAAATCCAGAAGTGGAACTGTGGCTCAAGTGGTAGAGCGCTAGCTTCCTGAGCTGAAGGGTTGAGGGACAGTGCCCAGACCCAGAGTTCAGGCCCCACGACTGCCAAAAAAAAAAATTCATTGGTGAATGAAATAGATTATTTTTTTCTTGGCTTTTCAAAAAATATATTTCTTGTAAGTTTGGATGAGTTCAAACTTCATATTATTTAAGTCTTGAGAACACTAAGAATTATTTAAGAATGTTACTTCCAGGAGAATAGCTATTAGCTTCTTGAAACTTGGAGCTGAGATTTTTCCTCTTGTAAAATAGAGCACATCACTATGCTTGGTCTCATTTCTGACTTAATGAGGCTGGAAGTCTTGAATGTGTAATTAGCTCTGTTCATAATGTCCTTGGCTTTGAAAAGAGCAGTGCCACATGCAGCCATGCTGGAACTTAAGCAGAAGGACCATAAAGTTCTGTGTTGAATGAAAGTTTTGCCTTTTGGGATCTATAACATTTTTAGTCTTAATTTTGGTATTTAAAAATACTGTGTTACGGGGCTAGAGGTATGTCCCAGATGGTAGAGCATCAGCCAATAAGCAAAACCATCAGATACTGAGTTCTGGTCTCAGAAGAAAAAATCTTACTGTGTTAAAATACAATTTTCTTCATCATTGAGTTTGCTATCTTTAGAATTTTACTCCTGAGCCTAGCTCAATCATTCTACCTAGCTACTTGTCTCTCTCTCCCTTTCCCTCCCTCCCTCCCTCCCTCCCTCCCTCCCTTCCTTCCTTCCTTCCTTCCTTCCTTCCTTCCTTCCTTCCTTCCTTCCTTCCTTCCTTCTGTCTTTGTGTCTTTCTTTCTTTGTGTCTTTCTTTCTTTCTTTCTTTGTGTCTGTCCTTCTGTCTGTCTCTGTTGGTCTCTATCCATCTATGTCTGCGTCTGTCGCTTTGCTTTTCTATGTCTCTCTCTCTGTCACTATTTGTCTGTCTGTTTCTCTCTATCATTGTTTGTCTCTGTCTATTTCTGCCTGCCTGTCTGTCTATCCCTTTCTTGAATGTCCTGGAGTGAAATAAGATGTCAGAGGATTGTATGATTTACTAGAGAAATGGAAAGGGGTTTTTATTTTACTGAGAGTCATTAAACCTGATTATTAAAAGTTGCTTGTGCGCGAATCTTACTTTCCATGGCTTTGACTTGAAAGTTTGTACTTTTATTACTGGGCTTTGTTTCAGAGTTTCTCACACTTAATGTATAACAGAGTAGTGTCCATTAAGAGGTACCTGTAGGATGCTTCTGAGGCCAGGTGGCCAATGACCTGTCATATTACAGACTTAAATAGGATCATATTTTATCCCCTGAGTCAGGCCTGTGTATCACTTCTTGAAGATTCCAGGTTAAGCACATTCAGAATCTGGGCATCTTTGGGTGGGTGGGGAATAATATATTAATGCTAAAAATGGAAAGAGAGGGTGGAAAAATTCAAAGTCATAGGCAGGCAGATGTGGTAAAAATCTTTACAACTGTTCTGACTATAAAATATTTCATTGTGCCAGGCACTGTGACTCATGCCTATAATCCTAGCTACTTAAGAGGCTGAGATTTGAGGATCATGGTTTGAAACCAGCCTGGGCACAAAAGTCTGTGGCATTCTTATCTCCAATTAACCAGAAAAGGCCCAAAAATGGAGTGGTGACTTAAGGGATGGAATGCCAAACTTAGGCCAAAAGCTAAGGGACACTGCCCAGGCCCTGCATTCAAGTCCAGTACTGGCACTACTCAGGAGGCTGAGATCTGAGCATCAAGATTTGACATCCCAGTAAACAAATTGGTGAGATCCTTAATCTGCAAAAATCAAGGAATAGAGGTGTGGGTCAAGTGGTAGAGTGCCAGCTTTGAGCAAAAAAGCTATGGGACAATACCCAGCCCCTGAGTTCAAGGGTCAGTACTGGAACACACACTCATTAAAAACATTTTTGAGGTAAATCAGTGAGACTCTGATATGTCTGATCTCTCTCTTTCTCTTTTTCTCCAGCTCCCTCTGAACAGTGCAGATGAGATGTATGAGCTACGTGTAACGGGACGGTCTCAGGATGAGATTTTATTCTCTAATAGCACACGCTTATCATTTGAGACCAAGAGAGTGTCTGTCTTCATTCAGACAGACAAGGCGCTATATAAGCCCAAGCAAGAAGTGAAATTCCGGGTCGTCACACTCTTATCAGACTTCAAGCCTTATCAAACATCATTGAATATTCTAATTAAGGTAAGTGTGCCTGTGTTCACTAGCCAAACACACACGCACTCGCACGCGCGCACACGCACGCACACACACACACACACACACACACAACCTCAAGCTGAGATTTGCTTACATTTGTAGCAAATATTACATTGATTGGTTTCAAGTTCGATGAGTCCTCCCTCCCCTCCCCTTTTCTCTTCTCCCCTCCCCTCTTCTCCCTTCCCTCCCATTCCCTCCCCTCCTTTCCCCTTGTCTTCCCTCCCCTCCCCTCCTCTCTCTCTTTTTTTTTTTTTTTTGTTTCTTGGGATAGGATCTTCCTTTGTAGCTCTGTCTGGCTTTCATCTAGAGACTTGCCTCAACCTTCTAAGTGCTGGGATTACAGATGTGTGCCACCTCCCTGGTTCTCAAGGAATATTTATTTATTTGTGTCTGTATTGGGGCTTGGACTCAGGGCCTCACCCTTTCTCTTGACCATTTTTACTCAAGGATGGGGCTTTACCACTTGAGCCACACCTCTACTTTTAGCTTTTTGCTAGTCAATAAGAGTCTACAGTCTTTTCTGTCTGGACTGGTTTTGAGCTTAGATCCTCAGGTCTCAGCCTCCAGAGTAGCTAGGATTATAGGTGTGAGCCACCAGCACCTGGCTTTTAGGCAAAATTGCCCTCGCCTTCCCTCTCCTCCCCTTCCCCCTCTTCTTCTTTTAGTGTCAGTGCTTGGACTAAAACTCAGGGCCTGGGCCCTGTCCTTTGTTCTTTATTTGAACCTCAACAAAAGGGAATTTAGCAAAACTGATTCCAGGTGCTTAAACTCTGAGTCCAGCACCACCTGCAGGCTGATGTGGGGAAGTGCGTCTGGGAGCCAGCAGGCCAACCTTTTGGAACTCAATTCGTCCCTCCCATTGGCTGTAGACTATCGCTAAGACACTGATCGTCACAGAACCTTCAGGGATATTCAGTGTTTTTAGTGGGGATTACTGCCTGTCCCAATCATTGGTCTTCTCAGGAAGGAAAGAGGCCTTAATAGTGGAAAAGCATGCCCAATCTCCACCCTGATTCTGGCTTCCTTCAGGAAGTTTGGCCAGCATTATGGAAGGAAGTGTCTCAGCTCTGAGACAGCTGCTGGCTCTGGCTTCTTCGCTGGTCTTTCTTCTTTAAGAAGTTTTGCTTTCTAGAGGGAGATTCTAGTTAAAAAAAGAGAATGAGAACTGCTTTGTACAAATGCATTGGTAAGGCTTTTGTATCATTTGTTAAGTGAATGACACTGAATACTATATTACGTGGATTTTTGGATAAATGACAAAGCATAAGATATAATTTTTTTGGGGGGGTCTGGTCGTGGGGCCTGAACTCTGGGCCTGGGCGCAGTCCCTCAGCTCTTCAACTCAAGGCTAGCGCTCTACCACTTGAGCCACAGCGACACTTCTGGCTTTTTTTCTTTTTTCTTATGTGGTGCTGAGGAATCGAACCCAGGGCCTCATGCATGCAAGGCAAGTGCTCTACCACTGAGCCACCTTCCCAGCCCCGAGCTATAAATGTATGTAATTTATGTACGCATATATATGTATATATACATATACAGATAACATTGTTAATAGCTATCCCTGATGAGAAGTCAAGGAAAAAGGTGATTTTCACCACTGATTCTGTTAAGTCTGTTAAGTTTTTATCATAAGGATATACTCATATATTATTTATAGGGTATAAAAAGTATAAAGAAAATGTACTCCTTACCTTACTTATGTAACTGTAACCCTTCTGCACATCACCTTTACAAAATAAAGAGTGTATAGAATCCAGGTGCTGATGTCTCATGCTTATAATGCTAGTTAGGTGGCTGAGATCTGAGGATCCTAGTTTGAAGCCTACCTGGGAAGAAAAATCCATGCTACCTGTCGTATATAATTGTATCCCTCTGTACATCACCTATATAATAACAAAGTAAATAACGAAAGAAATCCATGAGACTCTTATCTTACCTCCAGTTAATCAGCAAAAGGCTGGAAATGGACATGTGGCTCAAGTGGAAGAGTGTCAGCTTTGAGGGAAAAAGCTTCAGAGTCGCACCCAGGCCTTAAGTTCACACCCCAATATGGTGTGCATGTGTGTGTGCACACACACACAACCAAATGAAACCAGAAGTAGATTTGCAGTTCTGTTCTCCAGCCAAGATGTACTGGCACAGTAACAGGGCCTGTGAGGTACTTTTGCCAGATGCAGAGCGCGGGGTGGGGGCGGGGGGGTGGGGCCCTCACTCCCGAGTCTGGTGCACAGCTGCTCTGACTGAGCCTGTTCAGCGGATGACCACGCGCCAGTTCTGAGCTCTGTTTTGGCCCTGCCCTGTGTGGTTCAACCTTGATGTGCTGTATAAAGACTTCTGCTGTTTCTCCATTCTCTGTGTGCTTCAGAGGGGCCTGGGGAGTCAGAGCAACCCTCTCACCACGCCCCCCATCTCCCAGTGCAGCCATATCCAAGACAGCGCCTCAGAATTGTTGCATGGGTCTAGGCATGTTGGGGAGAAAAGTGTGCCCTCCCTGCCTGTTCATCTGCAGAAAGTGGCCGTGACCCTTCCATGCTGTCCTCCTCCCCCTCCCCATCCCCTCTCTCCCCTCTTCCTTTCCCTCCTCCCCCCTCCTCCTCCCTCCTTCTCTTCCCCTCCTTCCCCTCTCTCCTCTCTCTCCTTCCCCAACCTCCTCCCTCTCTTCTTTCTCCTCTCCCTCATTCCTCTTTTTCCTCCCCCTTCCCTCCCTCTCCTCTCCCTCATCCCCTTCCCCCTCCTCACTTCCCCCTCCTCCCTCTCTTCTCCTCCCCCTCCTCTCTCCTCCTCCCTCTCCTCTCCCTCCTCCCTCCTCCCCCTCTTCTTCCCTTTCCTCTCCCTCCCCCCTCCTTTCCTCTCCCCTTTCTCCTCTCCCTCTTCTTTCTCCTCCCCTTTCCCTTCCCCTCCCCTTCCCTTCCCTTCCCCCTTCTTTCTCCTCCTCCTCAGTCATCCTTGGATGTGAACTGAGGATCTTGCTCTTGCTAGGTGTGGCAGGTGCTCTACCACTTGAGCCACTCCCCCAGCCCTATTAAAAAAAAAGCCTCTGTCAGTCCAACAGAAGAAAAAAAAAACCAGGACTGCATTGTTTTCATTTTTATCTCCTTAGTTCCCAGACGGCGTGTATGAATGAGCTCTGTAGAGGTCTCTTTCTGCTTTTGGCTCCATCGTCTCTGCTCTGTCCCGCGGTGGCAATGCCTGACCCGGAGCTGGCTCGGGGACAGTGACTCCGTTTGCTCACTCACTGGTTTAAGGGTTCGTTTCTGGCCTTTGCTGGCCATGACTCCCTCCTCAGCGTGTAGCATGAGCTCATCTGGGCCTTCCCCTGCTTGCAGGCCCGGCTTGGGCTGCTGTGAGGACTCAGTTAATTTGCTGCTTCCAGATGCAGGGGTGAGAATCAGAAGAGCAAGTATTGCATTTACAGTGCAGTTGAGAGCAATGCTCCCGTCTCTATATCTGCGTCATCTACCTGTATATATATATCCACTTTACCTATGAGCTGTCTACATTCATGTAAAATAAAATATGCCAAACATCCTTTGCCTGTATTTGATTGTGACTGCCAGTCCTGGGACTTGAACTCAGGGCCTGCATGCTGTCCCTGAGCTTTGGTGCTTAAGGCTCGCACTCTGCCACTTGACCTACAGCTCCACTTCTGGCTTCTTTAGATAGTTAATTGGAAATAGAGTCTCATGGGCTTTCTGGTCTGGGTGGGATTCGAACCGCAATCCTCAGATCTCAGCCTCTCGAGTAGCTAGGATTACAGGTGAGAGCCAGCAGCTCTTATTTCTAATGAAAGCAGTTTCTCTCCTCCATATTGTGAGGGAAAGTTCTGGAAGTGCTTGGGGAGCTCCAGGGCACCATTGCTGTCAGCTGGTGCACAGCATACCTGCACTGCTTTTATGTAGCTAACCTGTGTGGTTTGTGTTCTAGGACCCCAAGTCCAACTTGATCCAGCAGTGGCTGTCGCAGCAAAATGAACTTGGAGTTGTTTCCAAAACTCTTCAGCTGTCTTCCCACCCAGTGCTGGGCGACTGGTCCATCCAGGTTCAAGTGAATGTGAGTAGAGATGTATTTGGGGGAGGATAGTAGAACAACGGAAGTAATGCATGTGGGAAAATATGCTGCAAAGTCATTTATACGATGAACAGAAAAGAATTCGTTTGGATCATGGAAATAGGTTTTATAATAATAATTATTATTCATTAAGTACTTGTACCGCGGGGCTTCAATTCCACGATTCAGAATCTTGATCAACATCACCTCTTCTATCATTCTCCTCTGTCTTTCTCCATGCAACCCTGCCTTCAAGTTATGTAGTTTCATTCCTCCTCCTCCTCCTCTTCCTCCTCCTCTTCTTCCTCCTCCACCTCTTCCTCCTCCTCCTTTCTTCTTCTCCTGCCTTTCCCCCCCATCTTTCCTGGGGCTTGGACTTAGAACCTGGGTGCTCTTCCTGAGCCTTTCTTGCTCAAGGCTAGTGCTCTACTACTTGAGCCACAGCTTCACTTCTGACTTTTTTGATAGTTAATTGGAGATGAGTCTCAGGGTATTTCCTGCCTGGCCTAGCATTGAACTGCAATCCTCAGATCTCAGCCTCCCCAGTAGCTAGGATTACAGGCGTGAGCCACCAGTGCCCTGCAGGATGTTATTTTTTAAAATCCACTCAAGGCTGGGAAGGTGGCTCAGTGGTAGAGTGCTTGCCTAGCATGCGTTGAAGCCCTGGGTTCAATTCCTCAGCACCACATTAACAGAAAAGTGGCACTGCAGCCCAAGTGGTAGAGTGCTAACCTTGAGCAAACAAGCTCAGGGACAGTGCCCAAGCCCGGAATTCAAGTCCCAGGACTGGCAAAAAAAAAAAAAAATCCACTCAAGTTTTCCAGTAATCAGTTGTTTATTTGTCCTTCCTTCCTTCCTCCCTCCCTCCCTCCCTTAGCGATATTAGTCTCAAATTCATGATCTTCCTTCCTCAAGGGCTGGCATTGCAGCTGTCCACCACTCACTCCTGGCTTCTCTCCTTTTCCGAAATTCACTCGGCGCTTTCCCCCATGCTGCTCCCTCTGCCTGGAATGCTGGGTTTTTCTCCTGTGAGTCTACTACTTGCTTCTACCCCTCAGGCATTGTGTGGAATGGCCAAGTGCCTTGACTTATCCCCACAGCACTCTGCTTCTTCTTCTTTTTTTTTTTTTTTTTTTGGGTCCAGTGGTGGGGCTTGAACTCTGGGCCTGGGCGCTGTCCCTCAGCTCTTCAGCTCAAGGCTAGCGCTCTACCACTTGAGCCACAGCGCCACTTCCGGCTTTTTTCTTATGTGGTGCTGAGGAATCGAACCCAGGGCCTCAGGCATGCAAGGCAAGCACTCTACCACTGAGCCACCTTCCCAGCCCGAGTACTCTGCTTCTTGTGAGGAACTCATGTCTGTTTTTTCCTCCCTGATTGCGAGGCTTTAACACAGGGTCTAGGCATTGTCCCTGAGCTTTTTTTTTTTTTTTTTTGCTTAAGGCTAGTGCTCTACCACGTTGAGCCACAGCTCCACCTCCAGTTTTCTGGTGGTCGATTGGAGATAAGAGTCTCATGGACTTTCCAGCCTAGGCTGGCTTTGAACCACGATCTTCAGCTCTCAGCCTCCGGAGTAGCTAGGATTGCCGGTGTGAGCCATCAGCACCCATCCCCATGTCACTTTTAATTGCTAGTCCCTAATATGGTATAATTTTTATAAGGATAATATCTTTCACCGAGTTCATGCCTTCATCCTAGGACTTCCTGAGCAAGTAGAAGTCTATAGTTACTGTCTTGAATTAAATATAGTTTTTTTTTCTACATTTGTAACTTATCTTTATCATTTTGAAGAAAAGCCTATTGATCAGGTTTTTTTTTTCTTTTCATTTTTGTGTGCCTGTACTGGGACTTGAACTCAGGGTCTCATGCTCTCATTTGACATTTTGTTCAAGGCTAGTGCTCTCCCATTTGGGCCTTAGCTCCACTTCCAGCTTTTGGCTGGTTAATTGGAGATAAAAGTCAATGGACTTTCCTGCCCTGGATGGCTTTGAGTGGTGAGCCTTAGATCTCAGCCTCCTTAGTTGTGAGGATTACAGGTGTGTGCCACCGATGCCTTGCACAGTCAGGTAGTTATTGTCAAGCAGTGATCAAGTTGAGGCACACGACTAAGAAAAAAATAAATCCTTCTAAAAATAATGCTTCTCAGAGCCGAAATAGAGCTGCAACTGGACTCTGCCTCAATCTGTTTTTATTTTTTTTTCTCTTGACTCCTGCCCAGAAGCAGTAAAGGGCTATGTATTGTCTTAGCAGCGAATAATGACTATGGAGGAAATGTATTTACTATAAATATATTTGTTATTTAAACAATCCACCATTTAAGCACACAGATACTTATGTGTCAGCTCTGGGGCTTAAACTTGCTTTGTTTCACTCAAGACCAGAGCTCTACCATTTTGAGTCACAGCTCCATTTCTAGCTTTTTGCCGGTGAATTGGAGATACGAATCTCTCAAATATATCTTCCTGGCTGTCTTTGAACCACAGTCTTTATATCTCAACCTTTTGCATAGGCCAAGATTACAGGCATGAGCCACCGAGGCTGGCTATAAAGTATATTTTGATTTTTTTCTGAGGCAGTGATCAATCTTGGCATAAAACCGAAGGAGGGAAAAACTATATTTAGGCAAGGATTCTGAAGTCCCATTTGTCAATGGGACACATATGGAATGATACTTGTATCCTCACAGAAAGACACAGTATTAGAAATGCAGGACTTGTCAGAGCTTTCACTTCTACTGAGTTTGCAGAGAATCATGAGAATCAGAGAAGGAGGGTGCTTTAGTTAAACTTAAGTTTCTTGATGGGGCCTCCTTTGTCATTTCTCTATTTGAAGCATGTTTGTTTGTGGGGTCAGGGATCTTTTATTGAAACCATTAACTTTTCTGGAATGAGGAAAATTAAAATTTAAGTAACCCTGTTCCCCGCCAGCATCCCCTGCCCCCCTTCATACATGGGCTTGAACTCAGGGCCTATAGCTCAGGCCATATTTCCACTCCTAGAGATTGGACTTGAAATCAGACCTCTGAGGAATATTTTTTTTTCACGTTTCAAGCCCTAAATAATCTTTTATTTTTATTTTTTAATTTTCCTGGATAGAAAGTTCTTCAAAAGGGCACAGAGTTGGAGGCACACACACAGACACTTAGTTCATCCAAAGAAAACAAAAAATTTTAAATACTTTTTTTAAATTGTAAAACTAGTGTATAGAGGAGTTACAGTTACAGGAGTAGGGTAATGAGTACATTTCCTATCAAGCATTGTTGCCTCCTCCTTTGTTTTTCCCCTGCCATCCCTTCCCTCCCACCTCCCCAACTCCTTCCTCCCTCCCCCTCACAAGTTGTAAAGTTCCTAAGAAAACGAATTCTTAAAATCAAATAAAATCAAGTCTAGTATAGGAAGTTACCAGAAATACAAAGTGTTTTATAAATCTGAGCTCGTTTCAGAAGACAGAGAGGGCAGATGGGACAGAGTCTATTTCCCTTCTTAGGATAGTCAGAAACGGGGTTCTGGGTGCCATAGCCTAGAGGCATGCTTGCCCCTACAACTCACACCAGAACCCCACCCTGTTTGCTCAAAATAATCTTTAGAAAGACTGATCTAATCAAAAGTGGTTAATTTTTGAATTCTTTGAAGCTTGCATTAGCACACACGTGCACACATATCATCTGGGAAGCAATTCTTAGACAAAGATGTTTGCTTCAGCATGTAAAGAATTGAGTTAAAAAAATGCAAAGATGATCAGGGTTTCCTCATGGGGAGAATTAGGACCCAATTTTATTTTATTTTTTTTGAGTCTGGTCGTGGGGCCTGAACTCTGGGCCTGGGCACTGTCCCTCAGCTCTTCAGCTCAAGGCTAGCGCTCTACCACTTGAGCCACAGTGCCACTTCCGGCTTTTTTCTTTTTGCTTATGTGGTGCTGAGGAATTGAACCCAGGGCCTCAGGCATGCAAGGCAAGCGCTCTACCACTGAGCCACCTTCCCAGCCCCTAGGACCCGATTTTAAAATGACCCTTGTAGTCTTGAGGCTGGTCCTTTAGCACCCACCCCTCCCCCCTACTAGTCTCACCATCCTATTCCATGCCAGAGCTCAGCCCTTCTCCCGGAGACCAAGGGAGGAAGAGTAGCAAAACCACCTGACTGTGCCCTTGTTTCTGGAATCCCTTGGTTTTTTCCATCTGCATGTTTGTGGGTGACAACTCATTACCAAATGAAATACAGGACAGGCTCTTTATTATCTCCACCATGAAAACAATTTCTCTGTCAGTGAGTGCTTGTCCACCACGGTTGCTGACAGTAGTAAAAAGAACAAACAGTCAGTAACAAAGTGCCGTGACCTCCCCCCCCATCTGCCAGGACAAAGCAAAACTAAGACCACACAGGCTTTGACCTGACACCACCAGTGCAGGGTACAGGGAACATGGCTGAACTTCACAGGCAATTGAGACCTGAGAGGACTCCCTGAGAGCTTCAGTCTGCCGGCAGACAAAGGGTTACTGATCTCTCTCATCAGCTCAGGCCACCCCATCAGAGCCCTTTGCTAGAAGAGTTAGTAGGTCCAACACGCACGCATGGATTTGTGGGAGGAGTTCTCAAGCTTAGATTTCTTCATAGAGCAGGGGAGAACCCCAGAAAGCAGTTAGAATATCCACTACATCATAGAATTCACTCCATCATCCACGCCATCATACAGACACAAGTGGGTCCCAGGCCTGCCAGTTGGGCTCAAACCCTGCATTGCTTCCACACATTCTAGTGAAAATCGCTGGGCTCCGATTTGGATGAAGAGCTGCAGCGTGTGAGACCTTCCTGGAGGCAGGCCTCAGGCTTCCTCCTTCGTCTCCAGCGGGCTTCTGCAGTGCCTTACCTCAGGAGGGCAAGGTCTCCAGGCACCAATATCCTCTCACAAAAGAGGCAGCGCTGGGGACGCAGTCTGGCTTTCATTTGTGATCTCTGAGTCACATGTACCGGTGCAAAATGTCCATAAGAAGCTGCAGCACAGTGTGACCA